TAGAAAAAATTTGAATAATATCTTTTATATCATTATATTTATGAAACTAAATTATTTAATTAATATATATAAGAATTAATAATTATAAATATTAAAATTAAAATTAAATTTAGAAATCATATATAATAAAAATATTATATAATTTATTATAGTAATAAATATATTATTAATAATTTATATTATTATTATTAATAAATTATATAAAATATAAAATTTATTATTATCTATTTATATTTATTATTATAAGACTTTTTTGAAATTATATATATATAATTTCTTATTTTTACTTAATTATCTTTTTAATAAAAATTTTTTTTCAAGTTTTTTGATTTTTATTCTTTCTAAATAGATTTTTTTTATTATAAGACTTATATTATTTTTTAATGAAAAAATTTATCATTTTTTTCTGTTATTTTATCTGAAATATATTTATTTAAATATATTTTATAATTTTAATAAGTCTTATTCTTTTATAAATTTTTCAAAATCTTCAAAATCTTGTTATTTAATATATAATATAAGTAATTTATATTATTTTAAAATAATAAAATAAAAAATTTTCTTAATTTTAATCTCATTATTATTATTATTATCAAAATCAAATAATTAAAAAAACTCTTCTATAATAATTTTTTTATCTATAGTAATTTTTTTATTTTAATAATATCATTAAAATAAATATAATTATAAGTTATTATTACTTGTATAATATTAATAAAAATACTGAAAATAAATTATTAAATATCAACTTCAGATCTTGAATTTTTTTTTATATTTGAATTTAATCAATTCTACTTAATCAATAATATTATTTTAATTTTATATTAATAATTAATAATTATCTGAGAAGTTATATTTTTTTTATACTTTTATACTAAAATTAAGTATTTTCTTAATATTAAGATAAAGTATTTTATTTTTAATATCTATAACTTTTAAAATATTTTAAAAATATAATTTTTAATAATGAATTTTGAATAAATTAATTATTTTAATATTATATAATTATAAATAAAATATAATATTAAATAATAAAAAATAAATTTAATATATTTTAATTTCTTACTAATTATATAAAAAATAATATTATTAATTAAAATCAAGATTTTTTTATTATTAAGTTAGTTAGTAATATTTAAAAACTTTATTTAATATTTAAAAATCTTATTAATTATCTATACTTTCTTATTAACTTTATAATTAATACTATGATTTTTCTTTTAAATATTCTTGAAGTATTAAAATTTTATTAATTTTCTAATAACTAGTAATTTAAGTTTATTTATATTAGTTATATTTATATAAAGCAAAATGATTATTCATTTTTTTTCTTTGATTAATTTTATTATAAGTATCTAATTAGATATTATTTAAAAAAAATTAATTTTATTAGTATTATAAATATTTTTTGAACTATATTTTAAGAATAATTCAACTAATTATTATTTTTACTTGAGAAAATTTTTAATAGAAATACTTTCTAATTCTTCATGAATTCTAAATTATAATATTTTTTAAACTTATCAAGTTAATTATCACTTACTTTAAAATCATTCTCATAAATATTTAATATCACAAATTTTTTTGTTTGCAATTATAATAATCTATCTGTTAAAATCATATTTTATAAAAAAGCTATTGCAACTAAGTACTTAAAGTGATTTCTAATTATATGAACTTTATTAATCTATTGATTATTTTTTTCTACTTCAAGTACATAAATAATTATTCATTCTTTGATTTTAAAACTTTTGAAATTATACTCCTATCATAATCATATTTCTTGAAAAGTTAGTCAATAGTGAGAATTATTTTTTTTAATATATTTCTTGTTTGAATTCATAGTCAAGTACATTCACTTCTTTTGTAACTATTCTAGATTTGCTCATATTATTAATATTTTCATAGCTATTATTGTTGCTATAGTTATTATTACCATCATTATTATTGCTGTTATTGTTATCATAGCTATTATTCATCATGAATTTATAATATTGGAAGTCATTTAATATGCTGAAAGGCTTGTCAGAAGTGTAAATTTTACAATGCTGGGGATGGGAGTAACAGAGATCAAAATTCTTTCAATTTGGTAATGAGAAGTGTGAATTTATAATGAAGCATACATATGAATTTTATAATGTGGAAGAGGATATGTGAACATGCGCGGGGAGCATACAATAGGCCGTACAACTAGACATGTGAATTTTACAATGCAAGATGGGCAAATCCAGAAAGCGTGGGTTTTATAGTTCAAAAAAATTTGATTTATCAATTATAACAGGGGTTGATATCAACGGGAGGCATATAATTAAGAGTGGAAATATGATTTATGTTGATAATGATATCAACGAGATATAATATAAAAGTTGATATTACAAGGGAATTTTTATAGGTGGAAATCCGTTCTATGACCAATGTGCTTATAGAGAGGTGTTGATATCTACGAAGTTGATATCAACGAGGGGCGACTGTACTCGAAAACTCACCAATAATGAAAAAATATATATTGTGATGTTCTGGTGAATACGCTTCTGGGCGTGTCGATTATTCAATAAAAGGATATGAGGATCTTATATGTATAGCCGAGGGAAAACCACGTAATGTTAAAGTCGGTTACCTCCAAAATATAAAACAACTAGAGAGCGCGAGTCATATGAATAAAAGAAAACGGATTATCTTTTTTTCTAGCCACGGAATGGCATTTTATTAAACTCGCTACGGAAGGCCTGTATTGTACCAGCAAAAGTGAATATCGGATTAATTTATCCAAAACGGCATTGGAGGGAGATATTGGATCAATCAGAAGAGGCGTTAAAACAGTAGTTGGAGTGATCGTGGGGTTATTAAGGGATAGAATTACAATGTCCGATGAACATGAAATTAAAAAAACGTCGTATTCAAAAAATCAAAAAATAGGTAGTCAATTCCTCTATGTACTTTTATTATTTTATTATGTATCCGGCATCTGTATGTCAAATTTTATTTGTATCAATAAAGCGGATAGACGTAACCCAAGAATTTTTGTGTGAAGAGAATCTGTAATCAAATTCGTTGAGACGCTTTTATTTTTGCGAAATATATTAATTTCAAATATATCCCTGCTATGCCATGGTTAATATCCACATCCCTGAGGTTGATGGAGAAAAGTACCACAGTTTCTACACCTACACGAGATGATGATGATTAGTTTGCCGAAGGCAGTCACACAGTGGCTATATAGATTTTTATCGTGTATATCCCGGAGAGAAACGTACAATGTATCATGTGTTATTTTTTTGTGTAATATATATATATAATTTGATTTCGGAAAAACCACATGACGGCGTGACCAAATACAAAAAAAAGTCACGCGTTAAATATTTTTTATCAGTTCAAACTTTTGAACATAATCATATCTTGTATAAAACAATGGGAAATCCACAATCTACAATTATTTCGTTGAGGGAATTGAATGCTAAGCTCATGTCCGACATTGATGAACTTAGAAAGGAGAATATTGCGAGAATACAGAATTAAAACAAGAGATTGAAATGCAAAGATTGAGAATTTTTTTCTGGCAAGTGATCGGCGTTACAAATTGTAACGTATAGCAAATTCTTTTAAATGCTGCAGGTTATATAATTGATTACTTAAGTAATATAATATATTAAAAATTAGTGCATCTAGAAACGTCCATACCAGAAGGGACATATTCGATGACAATTACGTGTTTTATCCACAAGTTGTCTAAATTTGGGAGTCTCGAGGGTATCACGTTTGAATTCTGCCTTTGTTGATGGCAATCCCGGATTACAGAGCTTACTATACAATGTATTATAAGTTCTTTGAAAAATTTCTCGTACCAATAAAAGTGTATCTAGTTCATCGACAAAGAATAAAATCTCTTTTATTGATGCCGGCACTGAAATTTGTCCAATATGGAGCATAAAATATGTTCCTTTGATAAGATCTAACATAAAAAAATCGATTGTATAATCTAAATAATAAAATACAAAAAAGGTTAAAAGCAGTTCACTACCAAAAAATACAATATATTAATTTTCTTACCGACACATTGAAAACCTATTACATTAATGTCAGCACCTTTATCTATTGAGAAATCCATACAATCCTTCATGAGCACGCCAATTCGAATGAGGTCATTACAATTTTTGTATACATTGTTCTTTTGTGATGGCGAACTGACTTCACCCACAAATACAACTGCTTCCGTTTGAAGTTGATGAATAACCGAGACAACAAAGTCTGGTTGCTTGCTTCGTCCTTCAAATTTTCTTGATTTGCTTTCATTTAAGGCCGTATTGGGCCATTGAACAATGTGATTATCTGGATTATGAAACGTGCCTTTCATTATATAATCCAGATAATTGGTAATTAATGTAATTTCACTAGGTTCGTTCCTAATTTTCTCACTAGGTAATGTTTCCAGACCCTTCAAAATTACATAACCTAAATTTTCCCTCATAAGTTGATCATTTGCAAGCTCCCTGAGAAACCAATCCATGGCACATTCACGAGAATTCTTTGCCTTCTTGATCGCCTCCCGAAATTTTAATTCACATTCTAGATTAAGTGTTACACTCCGGGTCGGGATGATTTGTTGATGTATTTCATCAAGTAATTGTGAACCAAATGTCTTAATCATCGTTTTTGAATGTGATCCGGGAATTAACAAAAAAATTGATGATAAAGACAAGATTTCGTGAACATTCGATTCCACAGTTAAACCACCATTTTTTGAAATTTTAACCGATTCGTTTTGATATTGTCGGAATAGTTGGGACACATTGGCATTTTTTAATTTATAATCATATGAGTATTCATTTCTCTCGAAACATAGATCACCAACATCATCAACTATTAAACTATCTTCATCTTCTTCAATCTGTCCAATAAATGGATTATCAGTCAGAGAAATTCCGCCTGGTACAACATTGCACGGTAAAGGTGAAATATAGTCATCGTTGTTTGGTCTTTTTAACATCCTTTCGTCATAAAAATCAAAAAATGTTCGTTTTCTTAAAAATTTTTGAGGTGTAATAGGTTCGCTCTGATGATATATTGGTATTTGATATCAGATTAGGAAAAGAGAACTGCATCGTCAGACTATTAGATCAACTTACCTCTATTTTTTGAAATTCTGATGTTAATTTATCACTTGACATATTGTGTTCGGTTACGACGTTAGAGTCAACGAGGTATTTATGTTGTTTCTAAATAAATTCGAAATTAAAAAAAAATATAAATATCAATTATAACCTACAATACAAGTATAGGCACTAACCTTTTTCTCTTCCACAATTATTTGATTAATGCGAGTTGTGTTTTGTTCTTCTTGTATCTGAACGCTATTCCAATATTGTTTTACGGTAGAAGAACCCAAATGTTTGTCAATCGCATTCGAAAGGCTTTCTGCTTGTCTGAAGTGTTCATCATCATTCATAGAAGCAAGTTTTTTCAATGTTTTCCGCAAATCCTCTTCAGCTTGTTCTCTTTGTGAAAATTGATATCCCAGCTTTTTAAAAAATTTGTTAGCCGTAAAACCTTGTGAAATAACCTCTTTTAGGATGTAAATGTGATCCTATAAATTAAAGTAGGATAATTAAAAACCACCATAAACTAATTCAGCAATGGTCGGTAAAAAAATATGATACATGCCATTGTCATCTAAAAACGTATTAGACAGTTATATTGCAAGGTCAGTAAAAAAAGTTCATAATAATTATTACAATAATATTTCCTTATTCAACCCAACTATTTTAAGTTATGGTAAGACCAATGCATCTCAAATTGTTTTAATGCATTCATTTCGCCGACAACACCAAAGCGAGCGACCTCCAGTGGAATTACAGGCCAGGGAAATGCTGGAAGAACCAGAACCTTCCCATAACGTTCAAAAGCTATAATATTTCGCCGACGACACCAAAACGAGCGACCTCCAGTGGAATTACAGGCCAGGGAAATACTGGGTTTGCAAAAACATACATAAAACAAAATTAAACTTATCTGCTTAATTGCTTTGAAGTTCGGAGCAAAGACGCGTCGCAAATATTTATCGTTAACGCAAATTTTGTATCAAATCACACGATTTGTCACACGTAAAAATTAAGCATATTATGTCGATCGATTAAAAACACACAAAGTTCCCTTGTTGAGGTTTCTACGAGCAAAGGACACGAAAACTCCCTGTAAAGTGAAACGCCTTCGAAATTGGCATCCATTTTGCCTATTTTTGCTAGATTATTCTTTGGTTCACAAATTCTTGCCATAAAAAGTGATTCACCAGACATGCCCAAACAAGAACCATCTACAAAGTTTTACCTCAAGGGGTTGGTACATTACAAATACGTGAAAGAAAATTAGGAAAAGCTGTTTCATGATATAGCATAGAGCATAGATAACAGCATTTTTTTTTAATTAACAAAGAACATATCCATTCAGTCAAACATGAGTCAAAATGTATGCAAGGTTTAAAATTTCTTATTCATTTAGGCAAATGCTAATTGTCATTCTTAGCTGGTACTTTAGCGATTAAACTTCGGGAAAAATTAGTAAACGCGCTTTTAAAATACCCGATCGGACTTGGTATTTTATAAACGGATCATGTGATTTTTAGATGTAAATGTGTAACGAAATTGCTTATAGATTGCACATGATTGTAAAATATGTATGCATAAATCATCGTGCCTGCTTCAAATTATTAACGTTGAATTTATAATATCTTCCCAGACCATTCGTTATATCAAGTATTAACTATAGTTGACTGATTTGTTCCATCCAAATGTGCGGAAGATACGCTTGTTTTTGGGTAAACTAAAGAGCCACCCGAATTACTATTCTCATTAACTTATGGGTTATAAAGCTCTTAAAAAATTTTGTCTTTTGAAAAAGCAATCCGACAATTTAGAAGAAAAAATACGACAAAGTAAATTAAAGTGCAACAAATGGGTTAACAAAGAGAAGTATAAACCTTCGTAAATATATTACTCTCTTTGACTCACTGCTTGCATATCCTGAAAGTTCTCTACAACCAATGTTTTATTTTAATATCATTGTTCTTTTTCTTCTCTGTTTATGGTTAAATTGATGAATTATGTACAGATATAATGTGGCACCGACATATTACGAGCCAGTTGTTCGAGGAGACGCGCAATCCCATGAAAACATCATTCATAGCATGGTCAGTGGATAAATTATTCTTTGGATACTGAATTTCCATGTAATTTTTCTGCGACTAATAACTTCGCCGACCGAATTTTACGAGATGATTTACAATAGAAATGGGGATTAGTTCCATCGTGGACAAAACGAGGAACGGAACCCTCTTGTATCACGAAAACTATAAATGCGCGAGATGATTCAATAACGGATGGTAAACCAATCTTCTCGTCAATGAAAAATTCGAAACGGTGTATTGTGATTGTTCATGGGTAAATAAAATAAGATACATACACCATCAACTTTTTTATCCATTTACGCAATAACATCAATTTGTGATTTAGGTTTTATGAATGGTTGAAAAAGGGTAAAGAAAGGATCCCGTATTTTGCGAAACGCAAAGACAATGAGATGATGTTCTTTGCTGGATTGTATGATTGTGCTACGTTAGATGGTAAATTATTATTTTCTTCCGATTAAATATCCTCATGAAAGAAGCTAAACAATCAAATAATGAATTTTTAATAGATGAACCGAAAGAACCCTTATACTCATTCACGATCGTAACTACATCTGCATCAAAACAGTTTTCATTTATACATGATCGAATGCCCGTGATTTTAGATGAATCACAAGTGGAGAAATGGTTGGACCCGAATACAAAATGGAATCGGGAACTGGCGGGAATGTTGAAGCCATATGAGGGTGAACTTGAAATGTAAGAATATCCTTTGATCATTTATTATTAATGATACTCGCGAAAATTCATATTCTTGTTAACTCTCAAAATCACAAAGTTACCCTGTTGACAAGGCTGTTGGAAAAGCGGGAACCGATTCCCCGAGTTACATAGTTCCCGTTAATCCAAAGGACTCTAAATCCAGCATCGAAAGTTTTTTCGAAAAAATAAAGCAGCAGCCAGCAAAAAACTGTGTCTCTGATAATTCTGAACAGAAAAATGTGGTAAAATCAACTTTTGATGATGGTGGAGCAACATCGCCAGCAATTACGAAAGATTCTAAAATTCATGAAGAAGATGATACATTTGGAATGGAGGCTATTCCATATAGTAGTAACGAGAGTAGTCCAATCGGATCACCAAACAGCAAGAAACGTAAGCCAAACGATGAGCATGATGATTATGAAGATAATGAGTCAAACGATACTAGGTCAAAAAAGCACATTCGTACGGAATCTACTGCTCCTATTAAATCTCAACCGTCATTGTCGCTTAAGAAAAATACGTCTGCAAGCGTACAAGAGTCCTTGAAAAAAACTGCGAAAATATCAAAAAGCAAAACATCACCCGTCAAAGAAAAATCAAAGATAAAAAAGCGCACAAAAAGTGAAAAGTTACCATCTTCTCCTATGATCACAGATTTCTTCAAAAAAACGGAAACTTAGTAAATTATTATCTGAATAGGATACAAACTCTATAGTTATGAATACGGTAAACACGAGAAATGGGGTATTATAAATTTTTAAAGGAATGTACAGAAGAGCCATTCTAGAGAGAAGTTGTATGCAAGTAGCTCAAGGAAAATTTGGTATTTATTATAAAACAAATATATATTGTTAAGTTCACGGAAATTACTACACCCAACAGCACCTTAAACACCTTAAAAAATTCTGCATTAAGTAAAGGTCGATTACATGTTTAGGAATAGAATTAACACCAAGATTATATTTAAATTGCTCTAATCTAGGTATTTGTTTCCTGATTTTCGCAATTTTCATTTTCTTGCATCGGATTGTTTTCCGGTTTGCGCTACCCGACATGTGAGTTGGGATAGTTTTTATGAATATACGAGTATGTGCCAAATGTTGCAAGAAATCATCAACAATACAAGATAGAATTTATGCAGAATATAATAATAGTATGTTTATTAAATTTCGCAATTTTAAAAGCGGCTGATGAGTTGATTGTTTTTTTTTCGGTTCGAATCATGACAATGGGATAACTAAAACTTTATATTCTATTGAAAAAATTGGTGTTATTCTTATTGGTAAGCTGTTGACGGTTATTCGTTGAATAAATTTTGAGTTTGTTGCAGTATTATTTCAGTGCCAAGCTTTGGATTGTTTTGCTTACAATTATTTTTAGATGCCAAAATTATTAATAAATATTAAAATAAAAAAATCTATGCTGCATGCACCCTTTAGTTTGATCTCCGCCCAAATCTAATAAAAAAAAAGGAAGCAACTAAATCATATCTTCATCCTCCACGAAGATTTCAAGTTCGTCGATATCTGCGCCATCAAACAATCGTTGATTGCATGGAGACTTTGGATCATTGAAATGACGATAAGGTTCCGCAGGATTAATCCAATGACCACATAAATAACAAAAGTGAGCCTCACAACGCGTGCAGTGCATGTGATTACATCCCATTGATTTTTCGATAAATGTGTCGCATTGCGGACAGGGTTGTGTGTTTGATCTGAAGAAAATTCTTATTAATCTAATATTGTTGAAGAATTTTAAGTAAAGTGACACGATGCATATATTTACCTCATCCATTCTTCAGATTCGATCTCTGATAATGTGTCACGCACCAATTTCTCGAGATTCTTTGGACCGTAACGTAATTTCATTAACGCTTTTTTGGCGTCATCAGCAGCCAAATATTCTTTAACAACATTCTTCACATTGTTAATGGCGCATGCTATATGGGGTCCATGCCTGACAATTTAAAATAAAAGAAATATTGAGAAAAGTGAATAAGATTTAAGATGACATTATCAAAAAAAAAAAAAAACTTACCATGTTCTCTTACACATCCAACAAAATGCAAATCCACATTTTTCACAAACACACAACTTTTCGAAATTAGAACTTTTTTTAACTGGCATTTGACATGTTTTCAAAGGGCAATATGTTATCAGCGGATTTGTTTCGATTTCAATTTTCTCCATCAACTGAAAAAATATTCACAATAGAAATAAAAACCAAGTATCTTTCAAAAAGCGGAGAGAGATAGAAGTCAACTTACCCGTGCATAACGTTCCTGCATTTCTGTGCCAACAATCTCGTCTAAAACTTCTTTCGTCAATATAGTTTGCGCCTTACAACCAACATCTGGGCATTTGACCTGTGTGACAAACCCTTCACGTATAAGCATCTCGAAATATCCACAAAGACATTCTTGACAGAAAACGTGTTGACAGGGTTGCAATTGGATACAACGCGAACCGGTCTTATTCTCGAGACATATTCCACAGTCGAAATGGTTCTCGGCAAATTCCTTGTTCAAAGCATCGCGATTATATGACCAAATAATGTCTCTGAGTCTGGTTGTGTCTATTAATGCTATATAGAGTTTTCATTAATCTATCACATATATATATATATATATAGGTTGAAAAAATAAAGGATAATTTCCAGCTAACAATCTTTAAAACACGCGTACCAACCATCTACTAATTTCAAGGGAAAAGTAATTCCCAAGAATTCTAACGCGTTTTCTTGGATAAATTCTGCATATCGATATAATACCTAATTAAAACACGCCAAAAAGAGAAGTCAATCAATATGCCGAGTAGTAAAAAAATCTCTCATTCCCAGAATCAATTAAAAAAAAAAACCATCACATACAACATCCCGCTCTTCTTCCCAAATCTCTTGTAACTTATTTTTTAAACGTAGCTTATAGTTGCTATTCAGCCAACAACACTCCACAGTGAAATCTAATCCTTCTTCCTCGGGATACAAGGCTGGCATAGAAAAATCAATAGTTACCGGAGGGAGATAACGGATTTTTAGCGTTTCCTCGTTATTGCTAATGAGGTTAATGTTCTCTCCATTAGCGGCGTGGCTTGAAAAGTATACGCGTATTTCGTTCGGTAAAGTGATTTCTATGGAGAGAGAGCCAGTATACCGAGAAATCGAGTTTTGCGTTTCTGTATAAGTGAAAGCTTGTGGGTAAATAGCCTGTATATAGTTAATTCCGAATGTATGTATAGAAATGCTCCCCTATGCTACCTTTGCAAGACACAGCCCAACAAACATGCAGCTTGATTTGCTTACCTCCAAAGCTAATATTTCATTCTCTTGCAACATCAAATTAGAATTGTCCATACTGCGATCTATGAAGTTAAATGTTTCTGCGGAAAAAATGTTTGCTGAATAATCTAACCCCACCGATACTTGGTTTAAATAGAAATTCTGTATTGATCGACATAATATTTGCTTGTTGAACATGAGTAATTTAGAAGATAAAGAACTCGAAGACCTTGATTTCTATGACCTTCTTGGAGTCGATTACAACAGCACCCTTGAAGACATTGAAAAGGCTTATCGTAAGAAAGCACGAAAATATCATCCCGACAAGAACAGAGAAAATCCTGAAGCAGGTGGTTATCACTTTTAGTTGTGTTGATTGTTTTCTTTATTCGAGATTTGAGCAATATTTTTAATATCATAATAGCAACAAAGATATTTCATCAGGTTTCCAAGGCGTTCGAGTTTCTTTCTGACCCAACTAAAAAGTTAGAATATGATAATGCACGAAAAGCGCGCGTTGCCGCTAAGAAACGATACGAGGCATTAGATGCAAAACGTAAAGTTATGAAAGAAGGTATGTTAAATATTGAAGACTATTTCGGAAACAGACATTAAATCGATGTATTTTAGATTTTAACGATTTGTTGACACATATATAACAAAGATTTGGAGGAAAATGAGAGAGCAGCAAGATTAAAGAAACAACAAAAGACGTATTCTGAAGAACCAGAACAAATCAAGGTAATTAAAAAGAGGTGACCGACTGAATTAATTCAGATTGAGCTCTTAATTTGTTTTTACAACCAAAAACGTCGTACTTTTCCCCAGGTGGAACGATTACGAGCAGAAACAGCACAGCGTCGGCAACAACTCGCTGAGAAGTTAAAGAGGCGCGCTGCCGAATTCAAGGCTTCTAAATAAATTCCTCGGTTTGACCCGGTTAAGCGTTTAACTATAACGTTGTGCTGAAGCGCACAACTGGCGCTGTGAACACCAGCGTAATTTGGACCAAAAAAATAAATCTTATATGAAATCTCACGCGATCAAGGTAAAATCGAAGTGTATTCTTCAGGATTTATTTCGGGATCAGGTAATATCTGTGAGACTATTAGTAATAAAAAATAGATATATTCGAAGAAGATAGGAGATATTGCAGGGTTCAAATGCACCAAAGATAAAACTTTATATTTCTATTTAATCTCATAATTACAAAATTTAACAAAAAGTTCACGCCCTCCCTAAGTAAAAATAAATTGACGAATGACTGACAAAATGAATGAATGAAAAAGTAAAAGCAAATGAATGAATGAATGAATGAATGAATGAATGAATGAACCAATGAATGGATAAATAAATAAATAAATAAATATAAACTATCTAAAATTTCTAAAATTGAATTATTCTATAATTTTCAGTTCGCTCTTTCTATTTTTACCATGAACGTCGCAATACTTATTCCAAATGTCATAAAGTTCTTCGATATATTTTTTCTGATATGATAAAATCTCTTCCTCCGTAGGATTATCATTTTGCTCGACTGGAATCGGCTTACCAACTACATATTTTCAAAAAAAATTAATAAACTTACTTAAATAAAATAAAACCAATATATATATATATATATGCTCCTACCGATTGTCACTATAGGTCTTCTATGTGGCATCATACCGATATCATCTATTAAAATATTTATAATTGATTCTGACGTTACAAATATGAACTTATATATAAATGAATTTATCACTCATTACTTACAGTTAAATACTCCACGACCATGAAATAGTGGAAGAGTGAATCCTAACATTTTTTGCATGTGTTTCTGTAGTTTCCAAACTGGCGTTCCTTGATCATTTGGAACTTGTTCCCAGATATCATTCTCACCAAAGGAGAAAATAGGACAAAGGGAGGCACTTTACATGGTTCAAATAGATGAAAAATGAACAGATGAATGAAATGAATCAAATTCGAAACATAGCTTTGATTATTTACATACCCATTACGAATGGCCAACTTGATAAAGCCCAATCGTTTTTTTAACGTTAAGTCATAATGACCAGGATGTGCGTTTAAACTCTCACCAGCACCACCGACTACAATAATAATTGAACTGCCCGGCCCACCTTTCAATATATTTTCACACGATTGTCGGGAGACTGACGCGCATCCTTGTGCCATTATATAGTCGCGATATAATGGGATATTGAAATTCGAGGCTAATGTCAACAAATGGAACTTAATTCCGGGAAATAATTTCGAACAGTTGTTTGCTTCGGTGGCAAAATTTGTCCATGCTCCTACTGAAATAACCCCGTGTGGATGATAACCTATTTTAATTATCTATTGGTTAGTAAAAGATGAGATCATAGTTATTATGTCAAATATTTTACATATACGCTCACCAAATACATAATTCTTTGTCGGATCTAAATCAGCTTGCTAATTTAATAAAAAATACAATTTAATAAGTTCACGTCTTTTGAATTGTAACCGAATTTTCAACAACAGAAATATTTGATTAATGAACTAATTCAATATCTAAAAAAAAGAATAAAGAAATAACATACTTTAATCAACGTTATAGGAAAATATTCAGCATACCATTTCCAAAAGGGTAGTCTTCGCATAAATTCTACGCGACGTCCACCATTTTCTGGTGCTATATCAAACATAACAAAAACCAAATATGAAATGATAAAAGGCCACATGATTGGAGTTGTGCACGCTATAAAGAACACAAATAAGGTGAAGGGTAAAGACGCGAGCCATATGAATACGGCGGCGGTTTGTCTTCTTCGTTCAAATGGTACATTCATTGGTGCTACTCGTACTCGTGGTTTAGATCTTTCCATAATTTTTGAATTTTAGTTTAAATTCCAATCGAATTATGTATAGGCTTTTTTAGTTTGCAAAAAAATCAAACGTTTATGAAATTCTGAAATATTTCCTTGCAAGATTTCGCGTGTTTAAATGCTAAATTCGGGGATAACGATAAGTAAATCCTTCTTATCTACATATGGACTGAAGCATAAGCGAAGCATAAGCGAAGCATATGAGATTTTCAATGCGTTGTATATGGTGCGCCACTTGAGCCGAACCATAACTATGGCGAAAAAAAAAAATCAGGCTTACACTATTAAAAACCTAATTTTATATTTAAATAAGATTTCAGATTCCTGTGAAAATCAAACAATTTTTTCAGATTCATAATAGGATAAGTAGAAACAAGAATTGGTTTAGTCATGTTAATATTTGGATAAATATATTATTAAGTATAACTTTAGTACTCTAATAAAAAAATATTCTAAATAATCTTTTTTAATATTTATATATTATATAATTTTTCTTGGTATGACTTAATTATTTCAAAAGTTTTATTATAAGCTTAAAATAAATAATAAATAAAGTTAGAATATTAAGTTTAAAAAATTATAAAAATTATTTTATAATTTAATGATTTCTTTTAACAAATTATTTTCTTATATTCATATTATTTATTCAATTTTAAAAAATAAATATCTATATAAAATTTTATAATATTAATTATATTTTTAAGTTCTTTATTACTTATTAATTCAAATTAAGTAACTTCTCTTTATATTAAAGTTTACAAAATTTTTTTTAATTAAAAATAAAATTTAATTAAAAAAAATTTAAAAATCTGAAAAAATATTTATTAAATTATAACTTATAAACTTTATTTTAATATAAAATAAAAATTATTTCTTAATAAAATTATAAAATTTTAATATAAAGAAAAAATTTTAATTTTTACTAATAAAATTAATTTTTTGATTTCATAATTATATTGGTTACTATATATTCAAAAATTAATACTTATAAAAACTATAAAAAATCAAATAATAAAATTTTGTTCATATGATAATATTAATTAATAAGTTTTTATTATATAAAATAATTAATATTTTAATAGTTTTAAAAAAGTTAAATATATAAAACTCTATTTTTTATATTTTTTATTTATTAAAAATAAAATAAATTTATATTATTATTTTTATATTATTATTATAAAAAATATTAATTTTTATTTAATTAATATATTCTTATTAATTAATAATAAATTATATGCAAGTAAAAAACTGACTTGTTTAAAATATTTACTAGTTTTCTTGAAATTTTGATTAGATAATAAGAATTAATTACTAATTATAAGCTTATTAATAAATAATGAACTATATAATATTGTTTTTGACATTGCCTATCATTTTTGTTTATTGAATAATTATGTCATAATTACATTCACAAATCTCAATATTGTATTGACACATTGGAAGAAATCAATTTATTAATTTATTATTATTTATTGTAGATATATATCATGAACTTATATATCATGAACTTTATAAATAACTGATAAAAAACAAATATATCAGTTAACTTTTTAATATTTGTTACCATCTTCCACGTCTTGAAAAATAACCTCTGCCTCCACGTCCTCTGGGACCATTATAATGATTATGATGATATTGTTGCTGTTGTTGAGTAGAAGACGATTGGTTATTATTATTAGTGGATGTGGACGTTGATGGTTTATTAGTTTCAGTTGAAGTTGAAGAATTAGCGCTAGTATTAGCTGTTATTACAGAATTCGATGGAGCTTCCGTTGTATTTGATGATGAGGTAGTATTGTTATTTGCATTAGGATTGGTATTTTCAGCTTTCTGTGCCTGTGGTTTAGTCAAAATCTTTATTTGACCAGGTGTTTTCGCCTCAGCAATCATTTTCTTATTTCGTTCCTTTTCACGACGACGAGGATGACCATGATCTTTAGGTCTTTTGGGAGGACCCCTATAAGAGGAGATAGAATGTTGAATTGGGGATGATGATGATTCTGTTTTTACATTTGCAGCACTCGGAGCAACAGCCGGTGGTGTTTGATCCGTTTCAGAAACTTTAGAATCAAGTAAAGATGTAGTTGATTGATTTTCGATCGTCTCGGATTCATCTTCTTTTTTAGGAACTGGACGTTGAATTATCTGACGTATTTTATCTTTTTGTTGCGGCTGAATAGAAAATTTTCTTTTTGTATCTCTTTCACGCTCCATTTCTCTAGCATCAAATTTCTTTTCTGGACTTGAAGCAGATGAACTAGTTGATGCTCCCACTGCCGTCTGTGGAGTTTGTTCGTAGCTTTGTGCCTTAGCTTTATCCCTTTCTTTCTCACGTTCAAGTCGTCTTTCTCTCTCCTTTTCTTTCCTTTTCTCTCTTTCTCTTTCCTTAGCAATTTCACGTTCAACATCTTTTTCTTTAGATTTTTCTTTATCCTGTTCTTTAAATTTATCCTTTTCTTTTCCTTTTTCTTTCTTTTCTTTTTCTTTCTCACGTTTCTTCCTCTCGCGTTCTTTTCTACTCAACTTTGCAGATGATGGTGGTGGAGCGAAAACATCGGGAGATCCATTAGGACTTTTTGATTGTTTCGATCCATTGTTGCTGTGTCCCCCTCCATTGTTACCAATGCCACCACCAAGTTTGGGAGTTGATGGAGGAGACATAACACCTACGGACGATGACGATGATTTTATGATAGTTTTTGGTGGCGGTAGCTTATTAGCTTTAAGACCTGATTTAATCGCGCGTAGATGTTCAAGTAGTGGCGTGGTCTTGGGTTTCTCGGTAGCAGCCGCGGCAGCTGCTGCGTTGGCTTTAATAAATAATAACGATGAATATTTCGAAATGTACCGTAAAGCGATGATTATTGACAATTTATTAATAAAAATCATACCAGCCGCTATTGCTAATCTTGTTTCTAATTTTTCCAATTGAGTAGTTCCACCTTCTTGTGCGATCGCCTCTTTAGACGATAATTGTGCACTTTCTTCTGCTTTCAATGATTCAACAAACGCAAGATAATCTGGATCTACGTGCCGGCGTATGAAAAATGTAATTAAACAAGTCATTTTATGCGTGGTCGATACAATATTAATTATTTATATACCCGATTCAATTGTGCCTTGTCGTGGATCAGGCTTCTTGCGCTCTTTAGGAAGTTTTTGAAAAGGTGCAAATTCTACGACGGCTCTCGTTTCATTTCCTAGTTTGTTGTTGTAATTAAAAGCATTAATTATTTATTATATACGAATATTTCTTTCGATAAGATAATGTATACCTTTGCTATCGACAAACAAGTGATTATCGTATTCACGATGGAATTCTAACACCATTTCATCAGTTTTGAAATGGAAATATGCACGCGAAAATATATTCTCTTTATTTTTACTTTTACAATTAATATAAATCAATAGAGTCTCTCGGCATTAGATAAGAGACTGAATAGCGTAAAAAGTGTCCAACCTCTTACTAACTCTCCCCGGATGAAATCTATACCAATCTATAGTTTTTTCATTCGCCCATTGTTTGACCGATTCCATAAACTTTTCCTCGGGCACATTCGGCGGGAGACGACGAACTACCACCTTTGTCTTCGAGGCTGTTTTACGTCCGGGACGTTTTGATTTTATTTTTTTACTGGATTTATTGTTGCTATTACTAACATTGACTCCGCCTCCTGAAGGCTTTTGAGTTTTTGTTTGGCTTGGCATTGTTGCCATTTTTCTGGTGTGTTAATGCAATTAGTTTCAGAATATCCAAATTATTGATTTGTACAAATCAAGTTGATATTAATCTTGTAAGAGAATTAACGTTTTTAACGTTTATAGGGGAGATAGAATTATCACCGGCTATTATCTTAGTAACAGAAAAAATGACAGATCACGTGACTTCCGATCACAATCTGTCTTTCCGGAGTTCCTGGAGTCTGTCCCTGATATCTTTAAGGTTAGAACGAGAATGTCATGCATTTGTGTATTTTTATTATTTATTTTTGAGAATAATTTAAACTTTAAGAATAAACTTGCATTTTGTTTTTTTATTTATAATGTAACTCAAGAATAATTTAAATATTAAGAATATTCAAATAAAATAAGACTTATTAAATTCTTGCTTTATCTTATTGATAGTTAAAACACTTATTCTTTTTTATTTGACTATCTTCTTGATTACTTATTTGATTGCTCATAAGATTATTCACTTGATTGCTATTAACTTGTTTACTTTTACTTTCTCACTTGTCCACTTGCTTACTCTTACTTTTTCAGACTTAAGTATTTGCCTAATTACAATTATTATTATTCAGAAGAAATAATTAGACTTTGATTTTAAATTGATTAAAGTACTTAAAAGAAATTTTAAAAGCAGAAAAATTACTTATCAATATAAAATATGAAAATAATTTAATAGTAAAGAAAGCTTAAATTACCTGATGGTGATAAAAATATATATCTGATCAGAAAAATTCTCATTATATTAATAATTATTCATCATCATTAGAAAATTCAAAGAATTAAAACCAAAGAAACTTATTAATAAAAAGATATAAAATTATTAAATGAATCTTAATTTTTTATTAAATAATAATATCAATCAGATTATCAATTATAATTATTATCATTTTAATATTTTTAATAGTTAAAAATTTGCTTATTAAAAGAGAAAATATTAATTTAATAAGAAATAAAAAAAATAAAGATATTTTAAAAATGAAAAAATTACTTATCAATATAAAATATAAAGATAATCTAATAGTAAAGAAAGCTTGAATTATCTGATAATAATAAAAATATGCATTTAGTTAGAAAAATTCTCTTCATATTAATAATTATCAAAAAATTTAAATAATAAATCAAAAATTGAAATTAAAAAAATTTATTAATGAAAAGATATAAAATTATCAAATATTTTTTATTAAGTAATAAAGTTGATTAAATTATTAATTACAATTATTATTATTTTGATATTTTTAATAATTAAAAACTTATTTATTGAAAAAGAAAATATCAATTTAATAAGAAATAAAAAAAATAAATTTCAAAAATAAAAAAATTATTTAATCAGAAAAGTTTTCATTATACTAGTAATTATTCTTTATTATCAGAAAATCTAAATAATAAATCAAGAATTGAAATTAAAGAAACTTATTAATAAAAAGATATAAAATTATCAAATATTTTTTATTAAATAATAAATTAATCAGATTATTAATCATAATTATTATTATTATTCTAATATTTCTAATAATTAAAAACTTACTTATTGAAAGAAAAAATATTAGTTTAATAAGAAATAAAAAAAATAAATTTCAAAAAATAAAAAATTACTTACTAATATAAAATATAAAGATAATTCAATAATAAAGAAAGCTTAAACTATCTGATAATAATAGAAATATATATCTAGTTAGAAAAGTTTTCATCATATTAATAATTATTTATTATTATCAAAAAATTTAAATGATAAATCAAGAATTAAAATTGAAGAAATTTATTAATAAAAAGATATAAAATTACTAAATATTTTTTATTAAATAATAGAATCAATCATAATTATTATTATTTTAATATTTTTGATAGTTAAAGACTTACTTGCTAAAAAAAATATTAGTTTAATAAGAAATAAAAAAAATAAATTTCAAAAATAAAAAATTACTTGCTAATATAGAATATAAAAATAATTTAATGATAAAGAAAGCTTAAATTACTTAATAGAGATAAAAATATATATCTAGTTAGAAAAGTTTTTATTATACTAATAATTATTCATCACTATCAGAAAATTCAAATAATAAATCAAGAATTAAATTTGAAAAAACTTATTAATAGTTAAAAATTTGCTTACTAAAAGAGAAAATATCAGTTTAATAAGGAATTAAAAAAAATAAAAAAATTTTAAAGATAAGAAATTACTCATTAATATAAAATATAAAGATAATTTAATAATAAAAAAAGCTTGAATTATTTGATAAAAATAGAAATATATATTCTAATTAAAAAAATTCTTATTATACTAATAATTCTTATTATCATCAAGAAATCTAAATAATAAATTAAGAACTAAAATTAAAAAAACTTGTTAAAAAAATATATAAAATAATATTAAATAAATCTTGATTTTACATTAAGAAATTAATATTAATCAGATAATTAATTATAATTATCATCATTCTAATATCTTTAATCATTAAGACTTACTAAAAAAAAAGATAATTAAATATTATTTTTATTAATAAGATCTTTATTAGCAAGTTCAACTGTAATTAATGTAATTTTCTATAGTTTAACTTTGTTCTTTTATACAAATTTTTCATTAACAAAGTTTCTAAATACACTATTATCTAGTAAAATCCATACTGATTTATCATTTACTTAATTATTGAATTTTAATAATCTTTCTCTATTATCTTCTAAATAAGTAAACTCAACTCTCTCATATAAAGATTCTTTTTATTTATCTTTAATATTTATAATCTTTGTCTTTAATTTGAAATAATAATTCTTTACAAAATGATCTGATTTATCATAGTTTTAATATGTATCTTTGGATTTGTTATTCTTTTGGCTATTGTTATTCTTTCTATTATTATAATATAACTCTGCTTAGTCTAATTTCATAGATATAGAACCATTATTTTGATAACTTCTATATTAGTTCTGAGAATGATAATTATTATTATTTCTGTTTGATAAGTCTAGAGATCTGTCTTATCCATATATTACTATATCATAGTGAATAATTAATTTTCAAGCATCTTTTAAGATTTCTGATATTTGATAACTAATCTTCATCTTTGTAGCTGGTTTTAGATCTTTTATAAAATATATGACTTGATCTAGATTATCTATATCAATTATTTATCTAACTATATTTCTGAATTTAGTATTATAGTCTTATACTAAATCAGTTTGATGAAGAAAATAAAGTTATCTATGAAGATATTTTTGATAATGTAATGATTGGAATGCATCTCTAAGAACTGTAACAAAGACATCTCAATTTTCAAAAGATAAAATACTATTATCTGTCTTAACTTTATTAAGATATCAATATAAGACTGCATCTGTCAAGAAGATGATAACATATTGTATCTGGATTTTCTCATCAGTAATTTCTTGAGCCTGAAATATTATTTTAACTTGCATTATTCAGACAAGTACATTTTTATTTAGCTCTCCAGAGTAGGTAGATAGTTTTATTAAGAGATAAGATATAGATTTAAGACCAGAGAGATTATCTTTTTTTACAGTCTTGATCAATTTAGTGATGCTTGCCATGAATTGTGTGAATTATTTTGTATTCATTTTTACTAGAATTTAATAATTTAAAACTAAGATATATATGTGTGAAGTACATATGATATGTAATATATAAGATATTAAAGGGAGTTATTTATAATAATCATATCTACTACTACCAAGTTGTAAAATTATTTTGTTAATAATTATAAATAAGATAAAATATGATATGAATAGTTTTAATTTTATAACTTATAATTATT